CAATTATGATAAGGCATTTTCTCACTGGTTGTCCCATTATAATTTTGAAAATCAAGTTATAATAAATGTACATTTTTAAACAACTAAATAGAATCCACAGTATGCCCAATTCTTTTGTTTGTTTCAACCAAAAGTTTTACTGTGGCATACTGTATCAATTCATGGCTAAAATCATGTTGGCTTTGAGAATCGAAAAGGAATTACTGACTTTATTGAAAATCATTAAACTTAGCTACTTGGTGTTTATTTAATTTAAAAATATTACTATTAGGGAGGCACAAATGTTTTCATTATAGATACCTTGTAAAATGCTTAAGTTGGGGCTTTTAGCGTGTGCATCACCAGAAAAGTGTTCATTGTACCCGATAGATAAGTTCTTACCCCTCGCCTACTCCCATCCTCTACTTGGTGTTCGTATGCCTATTAAAGTTAGCACTCTTGTATTTACGTTCTAGGGGTTGATGCTCTTCACTGAATTTAGTTTGTTGTTATTTTTTCCTAACCACCAGACTACCAGGGATGAATTTAGTTTTTTCTGTCCCTGAATTAGAGCTCATAAATAGCAGAGGTAACTGGAAATAAATACTTAGCCTTCATACGCGGATGTCCCTGGCATTTATCTTTAATCCTGTACAATATTAGATAGCCAAGTTCAACTTTTAATTTTATTATAGTGTTTGTTCTCTAGACTTAAAAAAACAGTTATTCTAATTCACTTATATCACCTTCTAATTAATTTTGGATTCCACTCTGTTTCTTAGATATTTTGAAAATAAGGTCTTTTGTTGTCATAATTTTACTTTCTTTAAGTGGTATTTATTTTCATGTTTTTTTCATTGTGTACTATTCCTTAGAGGTTTTTTTCTTTTCTTTTTTTTGGAGACAGTCTCTCTTTGTCACTTGGGGCTGGAGTGACATAACATCAGCCTAGCTGACAGCAACCCCAAATTCCTAGGCTCAAGCAATCCTCCTGCCTCAGCCTCCCAAACAGTTGGGACTACAGACATGCACCACCACACCCAGCTA